CAGATAACAGAGCAGAGAGGGGGAGGACGGGGCAGAAGAGCGGTGAACTTAACTTTATTTGGCTTATTTTATTTTATTTATTGTTTTTATCATCCTGCAGACTCAGAGAATATTAATTTGAAGCTGAGTTTTTGATAAAAATCATTAAATTACTCTAAACGTCGGTAAACCTGCAAAATGAGGGAAAATCTGAGTCAATTACAGACATTCTGTTCACGTGAGCAGCTGTCAGTCAGCACCTGTCATCCTCCAGACACACGACGGAGCGTGTCTGAACCAATCACTTTTGTTGGCATTGATCATCTGACTGATTTAAATACATCTTAACATTCATGAGGTACTTTACATTGACTGTTTATGGTTGAGTGTGGGCGTGTAGCGGGTAGAACCTGAGGCGGGACCTTGTGCGCAAATTATGAGGCACAGCTGTGATCTATAAAGGGAAAATGCAGTGAAACATGCGTTCACACGGTTTTATAAATCTGAAATCTTTTTGGCGTACGCCATTTTCGTCTCAGCCGTACGTTCACTTTTAGTATGGTTTCCACACAATCCTTTATAAATCTGACCCCAGGAAAGACTAAATTAAACTTTTATGCCTCCTAGGGACTCCAAGTCCACAACAAAATTGAGCAGATAAAAAAGTGGATTTTGCAGATTTGTCCAATTTAAAACTGCCTATAAATAACAAAGATAAGCATTTTTAAAAATCTATTTTACAAAATTGTATCTTACTGAGTTTAACTCAGACTGTATTGGTCTGATTCATTAGTCAGCTTTTTTAAAATGGTTTGCACATAATTTAATTAAAAATCTGGACCTACCTCACTTTATGGTTGTTTTATGTCTARAGAAAATGAATGTGATCCTTTAAAAAGTAATATTTTTCTGGTCAAGGAGTGAAAAATGTTGATGGAAGGTAAACACAACAAGGCTGCACCTTCAGAGGAAACGCTCCTTCTTTCTCCAAGGTGGGGACCCTCTTAGACTCAAAGGGTCCAAACCGGGTCCTCTTGACCAGCCGCCGCAGCACGAACACCCCCTCCTCGCCGTCAGCCACATGTCTGATCTCCAGACTGTTAGGAAGAGATGATCTGATGCAGGACAAAAGCAAAAAAGTGCCTCAATTTAAAAAAAAAAAAAAAGCTAAACCCAAACAAAAACACACTTTACAATATCGCTGCAAAAACGACTGGATCAAATGACAGATCTTAGAGGCCAGAATCTACATTCGCTAAAAAATGCCTTAAGAAGCACCGAATCCCTTTGAACTTCTCCACATTTTGTCACAACACAACCACCAATTTTATTATATTTACAGGGATATATTTTTTAGTTATTATTATTTTCATTGCATTTAAGGGTTAAAATGGCAGTAAATTATTATAAAATCAGCATGAGGTTTATGAGGGTGTCACCTTTGTAAGGGGTCCCCAAACCCAAAACATTTGAGAGCCTCTGGTCTAAGGAGTGCAAATTTTTTTTTTGTTACTATTTAATTTTTTTTTTTGCAACAACTGCAGTTGTACTGATAAGAAGACAATAATATTTATTCAAGCAGAAGCTGGTACCAGCCATCACTCACCGAGCTCGGCTGAGGACGAAGGTGTCTGGAACTGTGACCAGGGGCCCCAGCTCAGGACATTCAGAGTCATGGTACTGACCACAGTCCTCACACCCTGTGGAAGGCATCACATCAGTCATCAGGATTCTCACACACTGTCAGAGCTCCAGTACAGGCAGGAATGGCTTCATACTCACAGATAAACTCATCTGGTGCCTGCTTAGACATCATGTCAACCTACAGAGGAAATGAGTTAGTATCACTGAATAGAGCTGAAAAGCTTCAACTTCATGAGGTTTTACAGATGAACTACTTGGATGAGTGTTTAAACGCAGCTGATGTGAACTTTCAAGCCGGCACATTAATGTGAGGCTCCTCAGCTGCACCTGAATGCATCATCTGTCTTCCTGTTAAATAATAAGTGTTTGAAAGCAGGGCGATTTTTTTCTGTGTGCGTCAAACATTTGAAACGTGTATTATAATAATAATCAACAGTCTGAAAAACTGAGTTGGGATCCAGGATTTGAGTCCTTCCCAAACTCTAGCCGGGTTTTAACTCCGATCTGAGCTCCTTCTCCTTCATTAAAATGTAACAAAGAACAGTCGGCATGGCGGATGGACCGGAGACGCAAACCCCCAAACGGGATTCGATGTTTTTCGGCGGCGGGCAGAGAGCAGCGGAGGCGGCTCGAAGAAACCCGGGTCGAACCGGACGCACCACTTGCACCTTTACCCTAAAACCGCGCCGCCATTTCGGTGAAAAACCCTAGGACAACTGCGAAGAAACACGTTACCTTTTCGGTAAAACAGCCTTCATTTATCGAGTCCTGACTCCAGGTTCCAATCCGCTCCAGAAACGGCGCAGGACCGGAAGCGAGGCGCGCCCGATGCATTGTGGGAACTGTAGGCGTGTTGACTCAACTCAGCCGGGAAATAATGAGTAAACAGAGTTAAAAACACTTGATTRCAACAAAACTCTGTAAATGTTATTTATTAACGTATTTACTCACAACAAATCATAAAAGTTTTAAGGACTTACTATTAAAAATGCTGTCAATTGTTCAAAAATCTTAGATAGTGACAATTAAAAGTACTCATATGATGGTTTATGTGTAAACTGATTTGAACTTCATATTCTTTGCTATACATTTAGTAACATCTTCCCTTTACATTTGTTTACTGTTGAGTTCTACATATTGTACTCTTTCTAAAATAAATGCCAGTCATTTTTTGGCAACAGTGATTTTTGTTTTTGCTTAAATCATCTCATGATGCCAGCCACCTGTGTTAAAACTTCCCCCCCCCCCCCCACACACACACACACACACAGCTGATCATATCATTTGATTCTACTCCTGAAAATGGCCTATGTCAAGAGCGTGTCTTAAGCTGATTTATTATGCCTCAGTGTGAATAAAATGTGACTTCTCACATGGACCCTAATGTGTATGATTTTTGGTTACGTCTTTTGTGTTTACAGAAAAAGTTTAAAAAAGTTAGATAATTATTTTAGGAAGGTAATGTTCAGCAAGAAAAGTTTCAAGTAATAAAAAAAACCTGACAAGTTTAATTTTTATTAAAAACAAACACCCCTGAATTATTCCATGCTTTTTTAACCTTTCACTCAATCTACAGTATAGTCATTTAAAAGCTGATTAAATGCATTTTAAAAGAATGTGTTTGTTACAATCAAAATGAGAATAAAAGTGTGAAAAGCAGTGGTACAAAGTAAACATGAGCAGGGAAGAAAATATAGAATAAAACTCAAGTAAACCCATGATTCCTCCTCTTACATCTGACTGAACAAAGGTTTCTGTAAAACGACAAAGTTTTATAACATTTAAAGTAGTGTCAACACAGTTTCATGGATTCACTCATTTATTGCTGTAAATTCAATAACTCCACTGGATTTGAGTTACAGTCTTTGCAGGGAAATAACTGGCATGCTGCAGCAGTCAGTCAGTTTCTATGCATAGAGCTGATGCCTGTAATAAAAAAACAAGCAGTTTATTCACCACATACAACCCTAGTTTTAGCAAATGGTCTACAGTAGCTGGTGCCTGAAGGATGCAACAAATAAGAACTTTGAAACTAAACTAAGCAACCCGTTTTCTTGTTCATTTGTCAGTGAAACATTTCTGTCTGAACTTCTTCAACCTGGATTTATGTTTTGTAACAGAATGCAGACAGTGATGGTAGACGACTCATAATGTTGACATGTACCAAGACGCAGAAACACCCACTGCTTCTGCAGGTCTGTCATAAAAAGTTTTCAAATCATCAGGTAGTCTAATAATGTAAACACTCAGTAAACATATGTGCTTAAACATTTTGATTGTAGACACTGTTGATGGTGCAGGTGGTGCTGCACGAAATGAGTCAAAAGCAGAGAAATCATTCTGGGAGTAATTTTAAGGCGATCTATTAATCCTGTCATTGTGCTGCATCTGTCCTCTGAGCAGAAATTATTGATTAAAAGTAGCTGAAAGGAGGTAAAAAAAAAAAAAAAACCAAACAAGCTGCTTGCAAAAAGTACAATCATTTGCTAGATTTGAAAACAGAAGTAGCTAAAACCATTTGGATGCCTCCTCCTAAAAAAGTACAGTTTCTATTTTTGTTCTCATGTTGAAACAAAACCATAAATTACAGAGTTCCATTCATCCAGTGGTAAAGGAGAAGTAACATAACATAGAACATGCTTCATTACTGTGACAAGCTGTGCAAAAGTAACACTACTATCCCTGGATAAAGGGTCATTCCCTTTCCACGTGTTAACAACCCTGCTGGCAGCAGTAGTGTGTAGGACYAAATAAATGCTGTGTATCAATAAAAACAAAAACATCAGGCTTCTCACTTAGAAAGATATTAACTTATACTGGAAGCTAGTGGCGTGTGATGTAAGCTCTGTACAAASAAATCTATAATTGAAGATTGAAGGAATCAATTTAACAGAGGTATAGCTGTTGAAGTCAAACCTGGTACTGTATGGATATCATGCAATACTGTGAGAGCTCAAGAGTAGTACACAGCACGTGTTGTGAATGACTCTTAGCTCTTACACACCAAAATTTAGTTTGATTCCTGTAAGATTTGCTCAGTTATAGTCACTTTGTTTGCTTAGGTTGGTTAGCTATAGTGGCCTCCTTGAATTGTTGCTACTCCTAAATACAATCCATTATAGATTTCCATCCAGTGATTAGTTTCTGTCAGTTGAATTAAAATCTGTCCTCTGGTTCATGAGATACACAGCTAACAGACAAACTTGGCTGATTAACAGTTATGACCAAAGTTTTAAGTAAAGATCTTATACAATGTATGATGCTCAAATTGTCTTGGGGATGATGCTCGATTACTTCCAGACCAAAGTTTAGCTCAACATCTGTGAAGCTGAGGTAGTGATTTTTGTTGTATTGTTTATATTCAGTTGGCTGTGGCAACCATTTAAAAATGGAGTGACTTTAAAGAGTCCAGTGACCGAGAGTTCCATGAAAATCTACAATGGAGTATTAGGGCTACGCAAGATTTGAGTTTTTATTACGAGAATAAAGTCATGATAAAATTACAAGAATAAAGACAAGGTAGAACTCGATGCCAAAGCARTGAATGGTATGCCTCCGCCTGCCCTAGTCATCTGCATTTACTGGGCATGCAATTACCTTTTTACCTCTATTTTTGGACTTAAATATTCTAAAAAGTCTGTAACTACATCAACAATGTCTAAACAAGACTTGTTCTTTGATATTTATATCACTTAACCAGGTATTTTATTTGTACTGTCAAGGAATTAGAAAAAATGCCAGTTTTATATTACCAATCATCATAAATGACCTTGACCTTTGACCTTTCATGCCCAAATCTAATCAGACTGGGTACTACCATAATGGAGGTACCCTACCTATTTCTAAGTAAAAGTAAATTTCATTCAGGAGATATCATACAAGACCACCCGTGATGGACGGACACCACACTAACACACAAACAGCCAGAGAACAGTATGCCTCCAGCCTCAGTGGGCAGAGGCATAAAATGAGAAAAAAAGTCAGTATTACATGATATGTCCATTTTCCATTCCTGGGTCAGCTCGCACCTGCTGTGGATATCCTCTATGTGTGTCACTGTGTTTATGTAGTAGTTCACGATGACTTTTGGGTTACTGGTGGTGTAATGTGCTTCCATCCACATTATGTGACAACTAAATCAGTCAATGCAGCCATTAACTATAATGCCACAGTTTATCATATGGAGTTAACACTATAACAAAACATATCTGAACAAGATGCTCAATGTTCAAAACTGCTTTATCATGTAGGAGTTCTTGTAATATTATGACTTTATTCTCAAAATACACTGCCTGGATGTAACTCAGGTGGTCTATGATGTGGGGTTGCTGCGGTTGGTCAGGTTTAGGTTCAGCAACAGTATGTGCTCAAAGAATGAGGTCAGCTGAATATACTGAATGACCAGGTTATTCCATCAATGGATTTTATTTCATCCCTGATGGCACGGCCATATTCCAAGATGACAATGCCAGGATTCAAGGGGCTGTGGTTGTTAAAGAGTGGTTCAGGTAGCGTGAAACATCGTTTTCACACATGGATTGGCTCCACAGAGTCCACTGAGAATCTTTGGGAAATAAATCTTGTGACGTTGCAGACGTTTATTGAAACAATGCCACAGTGAATGTGTGCCGTAATCAAAGTTAAAGGCGGTCCAACAAAATATTAGTGCGTGTGACCTGTTTTTTTGGTCAGGCAGTGTATTTTGACTTTATTCTCATATTTCTGGTAATATGACTTTATTCTCGTAACATTTCAATTTAATTCTTGTACAACTTTATTTCCATAACATTTTGACTTTATTCTTATAACAWTAATAATAAAAACAAATCTCATAGTGTGGACCTAATTTTTGTCATAGCAGTCAGCATCGTCTCCAATAGTTCATGTCAAAGATTCAAAAACAATTTTCTCGTGATGTTAGTTCTCAAAGTATATGCTAGGAATGACTCTCAGCTACCACCATACCGAATTTTAGCTCAACCTTTGAACACTTGGCTGAGGTGGCGCTATTTTTGTGTTTTTACGGGTCAATTTTCTGTGGCGGCCAACTTGAAAATGATTGACTCCCTATCTGTCGCAGCATTCAACCTAATGGCTAATTTTGGAACATTTCATTAAAATTTGTTCAGTGAATCACAACATGTTTTGCTAACGGGGAGACAAACACACAGATGCATGCACACACACGGGCAAACACACAGCCTTTTTACCTTTATCAGGTGGGCAACAAGTGTTTTACTTACRTTTTAAGGGACAACTTTAGATCATAGCTATGTCATTTAGACAGTTTTTAGACCCCACTTTTTGTCCCCATTTTAGATTACCTGCCCCCACATCACTCTACACCTAATATCTTAATACCATTAAAGATAAAACTGTTCTTTTTAAGCTCTTTTACTTAAATATTAAATCATTATGAGCAAAATAAGTGGAAAAAATTAGTCTAAAGACTATCTGAACACAGTGAACACTCTTCCTAGTATTCTCTGACAGGCTTCAGCCACTTTCAACAATTATTTTTTTCATAAAATTAGTGTTAAAGTAGTCATTCTCCTCGGGCTGGTTGTACAGTGAAAAGATTATCTCCCTTTGTGAATATTTTAACATAACAGTCTATCACACCAGTAGCTCCTGTCATTGCACTTTAAATAAAACTTACTCGAGCTGTGCAAATGATACAAACACCATTCTGCTCTACATCTTTGGTCCTGCCGATTTGTTATAGGAGATGGTCAACAGCGGGGAGAGTTCCATCTTTGCCCTCCGAGTCGGTGAGATAATAAACAGCCCACATTAGCCCTTTTGGTTTGCGACGGGGCCATAAAAGCACTTAAGATTTCAAAATGTTGCATAAAATTACAAAAGAAGGAAAACATGCTAAACAGTATCAGCTGAAATACCACCAACTAAACCAGGAGGAGAGTTTGTCCTCAAATTCACTTATGCTTTTGGGTGGAATTTCAGCCTCTTATAGGAAGCAATTCAGAGGAGCCCAGCAGTAAAAGAAGGCTTCATCTGTCTCCGCAGCCTTCCCATTCACAGTGCAGGAGTCCCAGTCAMCAGGCCAGGTATTGGAGGACGGTGGTTAATCAGCATGTTCACCAGTGCAGTTCTGAGCTGGAAGTGATGATAGTAGCTGTGGGAGAGGCTGAGAGGGAGCGAGGGCTATGCATGCTGCTCCCCTGTGAGCGTGGAGCCATTCGCTTTGCTCTTACTCTTATTCTTGCGGCCAAGCATGCGGGTAAGTGTAGCGGTTCTGCTGGCCCGCTCCACTGCAGCTGGAGACTCGAGGTAAACCAGGTCATTGTGTGACTGACTCATCCCCGGCTCCTTGCGCTGGTGACGGCGTCGGAAGAAGAGCTTGGCACTCTTCTGAAGGAAGCTGCCTGTYGCAAAGAGAGAGAGCTGTTTTAAAATCACCTCAGACAAAAATAGTCACGATGATTGGGAAAAAAACACCATTTCTGAAAAAGCTAATTCGCTGTGGAAAATGTAAGAAAAAACAGAATGATTTGAAAATCTAAATTCACATTTTATTTACAATGTAACACTGTAGACATATCAAATGTTTTAACTAAGAAAGTGCACAAAATTGGATCAAGGAAGAAGACAGTGTTTGTGTTTTTCCACATGACTACTTTGTTGCTTTAATCAGGATTATATGACGGTATGGTGAATTGTGTTTACATACAATGATGTGCGTAAGTGTTACGGAGTCCATGCAGTGACGTCTATAACATAATCTGACTTGTCTGTAGATCACCAATCCTATCCAATATTCACTTTCAGTCTTGTCCTTTCAGCTCAGAAATTTCTCCAGATTCTTGATTTTTTAAAAAATATTCTGATGATATTATGAACTATAGATGATGGGATATTCAGTCTTAACAATTGTTCTTTGAGGAACATTATTCTGAAATTGTTCTTGTATTTTAGACAGTTTTTCACAATGCTCTTACTGACCTGTTGCTAATGAATCAAATTAGTTGCTCCACCAGCTGGTTCTTTTTCAAAATTATTATCTTGTTCTTTTTGTTCCAGAAAATTTTATTTCTGTAGCTTAAATATTTAATATATACTATGGTCTATTGTGAATAAATTACGAGTTTTTAAGATTTGAAAATGCTTGTATTCTGTTTTATTTACATTTTAAAAAACATTTCAACTGCTTTTAGAACTGTATTTGTTAAAAAAWATATATAAATCGGAAAAAATTCAGCAAGTAGTGGCACAAACTTTGTGTTAAGTTGGAAATTGTTGCTCTTGGAACAATCTATCTGATATGAGATACTGACTGAGTGATGCAATCGGCATTACACACACATGTCCAGGAGGAACATTAACTCAAAGCAATAGTTCCTATTGTAACATCCTATACCTGCTCAAAATCCTATACTGTATGCTCATCTTATCTCATAATTACTAGATCCTGATCTCATCAGTCTAGTTTTTTAAATTTATTTTTTATTGGTGAATACAATGCTCTTCTGTAAAAAAGTACCCTACTCGTCTGAATAACTTAAACATTTTTATTTTGGGAAAATGCATTAGATAAAGGAGTCTGGAGACTAATGCTTTTTCATACTCTTTAATTAATATTTCTCCAGATCTGGAAAATCTTAAAATCCAATTCTAGACTTTTTACAGCTGGGTAGAACCCTGTATTAATATGTAACCATACAGCTCTTTACTTGTGTTTCAGTGGAATTTACGTTAGTGTGAGTTTCAGGTCTTTGCTGGATGAGAGAAATTTTTACTCCAATAAAGATATTATGACAGGGCAAGTAAATAAGGAAAAACAGTTAAGAGTACTTAGTTATGAAGTTTAGGTCACTAAGCTTCTACGTACTAAAAATACTCTAAAATAAAAGTAATATATGCAGTGAGTAAACATCAGTCCACACCCCCTGTTAAAATATCAAGTTTTTGTGATGTAATTTCAAAACTTTTCTCACCTTTAATCTGACCTATGTTCTGTACAATTCAACTTAAAAACCAACAAACCTTTTAGGAGAAAAATCTAAAAAGTAGAAAAGGTGCAATAAGGTGGTTCAATAGGAGTCTACACTCTTAAACTAATCATTGGTTTTTTATTTAAACATTTCAGTCTTTGGCCATGGTGAAGCAGTGGTTAACAGTTGTTGTCTCTGGGACACAATTCCCAAAGGTATGTTTGGTACAAAACATGTTTAGAGTCATGCCTATAACTTTAAACATACATCCAGGTCAACAAATGAATGGGTTCAACAGAAAAAGATAAAAATATTTAGATGTAAACCACAGTTTAGATCTTCCTTTGATTTAAGAAATCAGAGTTTGGGGCTGTATAGATTAAGTGTATACAACCATAACTGCACCCTTTTAATCATTCATCAATCATTCATCTTTTAAGTAATCTCTTCATCCAAGTAAAGTTGTTTTTCAGTTGAATTGCACATCATATGCGTTTTGATAAAAGTAGGAAACATTTCTGAAAAAATTCTAATGTTTTGTCTTTTTTATATCCCACACTCTTCAATCCCTCTAAATGCAAGCTGGTGGCCCCAGTGACCTAAGTTTGAATACAGAACTTCACAGGTGATTTTTAAGGGGTTAACAGAGATGTGTAGACCTTTTATATTCACTGTATACAGTATGAAAACATTGATTTGACATAAATGAAAACTACTCTACTGCTTGTAAACATTACATTACCATTACTACAAGTAGCCCATGGAATAACTTACTCATCTGGACAAACTGTGTGCCTAGCACTGCTCTCCTCTAAGATGGAAGTGATGAAAGTTCGAAAAGGTTCAAAGAGTTTGAAGGAAAGAGAGAGAAAAACAAAACAGAACCAAACCACAGAGTCAGACCATGACTTTTTTTTTCTTAAGGCAAGAACAAGTATGATCCAATAAAACAAGTGTGCTCCAGGCTGGGGCAAGATACACTCAACATTGTTTCTAAAAAAAAAAAAAAAAAAAAACTCACCAAACCAAACAAAAAAACAGTGCTGGATCAATAACAGGAATGGTTTAAATTTCACAAAGAAGAACTTGAAGAAATGTGGCAGGGAATGATGCAGGGAGRTATTTTAGTCACTGTAGAATTGGCCAAATGGTTGATTGAGTTGGTCTTTTAATATTAAAAATAAATTAAATAATAAAATGAAACGTTTTCATCTTTAGAAAAGAAATCCAGTTCTGTTTTTCTTTCCATCATTCACACAGAAKCACAGAAAAAATAACTTGTATTTGTAGTAACTATGCCAGGCCTGTGTGTGGTGCTGTAAAACTGCCGCAAAAATAAACAAACAGGAAAGAAGACATGAATTTAGACATGACATTATAAGATTTATTCTTCTCCTGCTACCTTACATTTTATTTTGATTTTTGATTTGTGTATTTTCTTTATTTTCTATTGTATGTGGTTATTTTGTTTTTTAATGAAATAAATTTTTTTGAATTGAATTGAAATTTGTTCCAAACTGTAAACACAATATGTAAAAGGCAAGAATTTAACCATTCAAAGGCAAGAACTGAATCCTTCTTTCAAACTGAACAACGGAGTAGAACTTCTCTTTGTCTCGTTTAACTACAAGTTGTGTCAGTTCAAATCTGGATATAATGGGTGATTTCAGGCAGAGCATCCATACTTATATTGTAAACATTACATAGAATTTTTCTTTAAGTTCTTGCATTTCACCAATTAACTTCAGGCAGGGGAGACTCACTGATACATCATCATGAACCCACTCCTCACACAGCGGCCCCAACCTCCCTGGGACTTTTGAAACTTGAACAGTGGGGTGGGTGGTCGAGTAAAAATTGTCCATTGGCCARCAACAAACCAATTACTGTTGGACTGAAACCACGGACAAAGACAAGAGGAAACTTTAAATGATAACGCTAATACAATTAAAACATGTTTACTCATTTAACTCATCAGGGGGTCTGTGTGTAACAGTTGATTGTGACAGATCTGCCATGATGCAGCACAGTAATAATTGTCAAAATTGTCTGACGACAAACTCTGAGTCACAGTAAAGCTTCCATTTTATCATTTTTTGACAAAATCCAATTAATGCAACTTTTTCAACTGATTCACTATAGCAGCTTATATCTCACTGTATCACTTTGACTTAAAGCTCGGTTCAGTGTGATGGGTCTCATTTATACATTATTATACACATACTGTATTACAAATCAGGTGACTGAAAGGTACCTCTTAACCACAGGGTGATGTCGAGTTTTTTTATTTTATTTTTTTGTTGCATTTTCTTAGGTTTTAGGTTTTGTTTAAGAGCAGAAACCAATAGATGAAAGTCAGCAGACATGTGCAGTCAGGTCAATTTTCCACAATCAGAATAAGATGATCAGATTAAGTGTTTCCATGCACGTTGTTTGGATTATCAATCGGCATAAARCACCTCTCTCATTCCGATTACAAATTCATTTGGATCGAGCTGAATCGGGCCAGAATAATCCGAATGGGGTGTTTACATGATGCATTTTTATTCTGAATGGCAGTTTAATCCGATTACTTATGTCCATGTAAATGTAGCTAGTGTCAGCTGTTTTGGTGATAATGAAATTTACAACAGGTGCACAAATGGTTTTGCAGCTGGAGGCTAGAGACAGTTTTTCCCTCATGTTTTTTTTTTTATTGTTTTCAGTAGTTTTAGATTTGACTAGGATTAGTGTCACTATTGGTAACAGGAGGTGATATCTGGACCCTACAAAAGGTTTCACAGGAAGTCCAAATTCACCTGGATGGCACATTACTTTTGTGTCATTGTCAGAAGGTTTGTCGTTTCCCCCAGAACAGTTTCAAGAGCATGGAGGAGATTCCAGGAGACAGGCTGTTGCACTAGGAGAGCTGGACCGGACCATCAGAGGTCCTTACATCAGCAGGACTGGTATTTACTGTTCCTTGGTACAAGGAAAAACAGAATTAATACTGGCAGAGTCCTACAAAGTGACATCCAGCAGACCACTAGTGTGAATGTTTCTGATCAAACAATTAGAAACACACTTAATGGAGCTGGCCTGAGGGCTTTGCATCATCTACTGGGCCCTGTACTCACTGCCCAGCACCATAGAGCTCAACTGGCATTTGCCAGAAAACACCAGATTTGGCAGTTCTGGCACTGCTACCCTGCTCTTTTAATGCTGAGCACATGTGAGACGTGACATCTGGAGATGCCATGGAGAACCTTCTGCTGCAAGCAACATCCTTGGTGCAACCAGCTTGGCAGCACAGACCTCCATGTTTTAGCCAGAGGTACCCTGACTGCCATTAAGTACTGGGATGAGATGGTCAGACACATTGTGAGAACGTATTCTGTTGCAGTGTGTCCTGGGTTTCTTCTGATGCAGGACAAAGCTAGGCCTCACGTGGCTGAAGTGTGTCAGCAGTTCCTGCATGTTGAAGGCCTTTATGCTACTGACTGAGCTGCCTGTTCCCCAGACCTGAATCAAATCAAGCACATCTGGGACATCATATCTCATTTTATCCACCACTGCATTGGTCTCTGCCTGCAGCTAGCTGACCTCTCTCTGATACCGAAACTCAGCAGGAAACTGACTGATAGGTGAACACACAGCTGTTCTTTCGCTGGTTGACAGAGGTGCTCGGATTAGTTGATCCCATCTCTCGCAAGCTTTTGGTAAAATATAATATTTAAAGCTTCTGTTGGAAAAATATGCATTGTTCAAAATGTTATGTCTGAATAAACAGGATTCAGTTGGATTTCTTCTTTAAAACTTTATTTTCAGTCTTCTGACTCCAATCAGGTTCATTCAGCGCTCAGCAGCACAGGCCTCAGCGTACAACCTTGGGCCAAATCAAAACAAATGTGGGAGCTCTGCTCTGAGCAGACACTCTGCAAAACACTGACAACTTCTTTCTACTATAATAATGAATTGAGCTTATAATGTTCATCCCTTCCTGGTTACACCCCAGAGGTGTTACCTTTTACGTCAGATGTCAGAACGTCACTCAGTTTTGTTTAGGCTAAGAGAAAGAACACATGGTAACACACACACACCAACTCTTATTCTGTAATGTTGTTAAAGCTGCAATGATCAGAAAGTATAAAATACAAAACTGAATCTAATATTCAATGAATCAGTTACAAAATTTCTTCACTCCATTAACTTCATCCTAAATTTATCTATGTGACGTTAAATTTTTCCTTTTTAACCACCCCTCTAAAATTCCCTTTTTGCCTCAAAACCCATTATCTGGATTTGGTTTTGTTTTATGCTTGATTTCTTCTGCATCTATAAAGTTTATCTGGATCAAATAGCTACATTAGAGCCGTTGTATTATTGGTATCAATTTTGGTCATTTTATTGTCATTTACTCATGTTATTTCATCCCTGAAGCATTATTTCCATCATTACAAACTCTGCAATAACTTGTTTCATGTTAATCTGTAAATAAAGGGTACACAAAGAGTGTACCAAGTTTAATARGTCTTTTTTGTGTCTTGATAAAGTTTAATGATTCATGTAAGTAAAATAACTCATTTTTGGGTACTATTTTATTGAGACTGATAACCAAAAGAGGGATTGACTTGAGAAAGTTTTTCTTTCTTTTCTTTCCAAATAAAGGAGAGGGGTGCCTCGAGGTAAATTAAAGTTCTAACTTTAATAATTCATATTTTATCCAATCTTACACATATGTACCACCTACAAGGATAAACCCCTACCTCTTGTCATCCCCGTTTGCTGAACTGTTCTTGCATCTTAAGTTGACATCTGTTCCAGTGTTGGTGTGGAAATTAATCCACAATATTACAGACTACTAAGTGATAAATCAAATAAGTTCATCTAGGTAAAATACCAACATGTTTTAACAACCAGAACCAAGTAAAACTACTTAGCTAGTAACACCTCAGTGTCTTGTCTAAAAGGCATGTGGTAGAAATGGATTAATTTTAAAGTCTGATTTTTCAAACACTGTGTTTTTAATAAATAAATCAGACAACATTGGGCTTGTTCACAGTTAACTTTTGGGGACTTCTCACCTCTGCTCTTCTTGCAGCTCGCCTCGGATATACACATGGAGAGGGAAGTGTTGTCTAGTTCCTCTCCAGTTTGGCTCTCCCATTCCTCTGGAGGTCGCCCAAGTCCAGTGGGGCCTTCCTGGGGCTCAGACACATCTGGAGGACTACTGATCCCTGATGCGATCGCTGTGGTTACATCCTGAGTGGAGCTGCTTCCTGACATCGAGGCATCCATTGCTGCAGCATAGCCTGCCATTAGAGCCAGCTCATCGTCCTGAGACAAGGGTGTCTGGAGGAGAGAGAGAAAAAACTGTTTGTGTTTGAAACACTTTTTCTTGGTGGAAACCTCAGAGCTGTGAGGCTTTAGTTAAAACAAGCATTTAACACTGTTCAAACTTTAGCTTTTCAAAAGGTTTCCACTTTATATATTATATTAAAATCAGAAAGTGCCGCTTTCAGCTGATTAGAAACATTTAAACAATAAAATGAAGAAATAAGGAGCTCCTCTTCAGTTCATTCTTACTTTGGAGATGCCTGAGATGATGATGGTGCTCTTCTTCACGGGAGATTTGAGCTTCTGTTTGGCAGACTGGTGGAGTTGTCTGATTGCTGCTTCAGCAACTGGGTCTGTTCCATTGAGCATTAGCAGCTCTGTGTCAGAGGAGGACAAAGCCTTGCTCACAGTGCCCCCCAACACGGACACCTGTTCAGAAACCCGACGCTCAGCCAGCTTGGGCTTGCTTTCCACCGGCTTCAGGGCAGGATCTGCAAAGTTCCAGCACTGCCTCAATACACTGTATATCACAGTCCATTTCAGTCATTTTTGTGTTAAAATGATTGATCAGTAGTGAAAAAACAAGAGGAAGTATCTGGTAAGATGTGCAAATTCAATGCTGAGTCAACATAAATCAAACAAAGACATAATGTATGAAATGCAATACTGTCTTGGCCAAAACCCTCTGAACTTTTCCACATTTTGTCACAATACAGCCACAATCTTCAAAATATTTTTCTGTGATTTTATGTGATAGACCAACACAAAGTAGAACACATTGTGACGTGGAAGAAAAACATTATATTTTCAATATTTTTTTAAAATAAAAAGTGGTGCCATCTGGGGATTTCCTTGTTCTATGTGACTTCAATTTCCATGTGGGCAGTGGTGGAGTTATCTGGAAGGCAGATTGGGAGGAACGGTCATGGGTACCTGTCATGGCTTTAACAAAGGACTCGATGGTGGACACCAGTGGTGATGGAGGCCATCGAGCTGAAAGAGGAGGCATTCAGAACCTGGCTGTCACGGAGGACTCCTGAAGCAGCTGATGGGTACAGGCTGGCCAGACAGGCTGCAGCTTTGGTGGTTGCAAAAACTTGGGCATAAGAGGAATTTGGGGAGGCCATGGAGATGGAATTTGGGTTGGCCTCAAAGAGGTTCTGGTGAACTGGTCTGCGACTCAGAAAATAATAGCATTCCCTGTCCCAGGCTGTACTGGGTTTAGGTAGGGAACTGCTGACCCAAACTGAGGATATTGTTGAGCAGTGGAAGGAGCACTTTGAGGATTTTCTCAATCCACCCTCCATGTCCACCTTAGTTTGAGGGGGCAGAGTCTGAAGACTCTGGGACAAGACGAATCCATTACCATGGCAGAGGATGTTGCTTAGGTCTGTCATGGTGAAGAAAGAGCTGAGTCAAAAGGTAAAGCTTTGGATTTGCTGGTTTGTCTACATTCCAACCCTCACCTATGGTCATGAGGCGATCATGACTGAAAGAACAAGATCCTGGATACAAGCAACCGAAATGAGCTTCCTTCACAGGGTAGCCAGGCTAGGTTGAAGAGCTCCATCATCTTTGGGGAGCACGGAGTAGAGCCGCTGCTCCTCCACATTGAAAGGAGTSGGTTGAGGTGGTTCAGGCAGTAAGTTTGCCTCTTTGACGCCTCCCTTTAGACTCCTCTGCAACCCAACTTTGGATAAGCGATAGAAGACGGCAATGGAGTTTATAGTTTTGCAGGTGATTTTAACTGAATATTTAATAAGAAAATTCTTAATCTAGGGCTGCCACGAGTAGTCGACTAGTCACGATTATGTCAACTATTAAAATCGTCAACGATTAATTTAATAGTCAATGCGTTGGTTTTTTTTTGTAACTTTGTTTTTTTTAAAAATTGTTTGTGGCAGCCCTAACTACCACTAATGCATGTGTATCAAGGACAGTAAGGCAGACACGGCAGTGGAAGGTGCTGCAGCAATTTGGAGAAAAATAAAGTTAGAAAAAAAACGACGCATACAGTATTAAATTAGTCGATGATTTTTATAGTCAACAATAATCATGACTAGTCAACTAATCATGGCAGCCCTACTCCAGATTTATCTTAATGTAATGATTTTCCTAAAAATGTTTCAGATGAAAAATATCAGATGAATGAGTTTCTCATTTTTGACATTCTTAGATTATGAAACATGTCAACCTGAGTGGTCCTACATGGCACCTCTTACATTGTCAACCATGTCCTTCCAGGGTTGGTGTCTTTACATTGGGTGGACACTACTCCACCCAATGTCCTGTTTATAGGAACTACTAGGCAGAGTTTCCAAGCAGGCCAAGACGAGCTGAAGATTTAACTTAAACAAACTGCAGCACATTGATTGGTCAGAGAGTGACTTCAATCATGAAAAGAGAAGAATCAAAGTGAAAGAACACTTTACGACTGCAGCATTTGTTTTTGTTATTTAGTTTAAAAATATATATATATTAACACTGTGGTATTGAGGTGGTGCACATTTCCTTGCTTTTTATGCTGCTGACAGAATTCAGATTGAGCTAGAACAGAGGGGAAAATTGGCCTCAACTCAGCACAGCATTCTTAGAAATGGGTAGCAAATGAGTATTTTGTGACTTTGCCTTCAATTTTACTTGGTGGTTATAAGTTTTGCTTTGACAACCCTTCTAGATCGAGGCAACCCTCCGTTATACTGTATGTAAAACTGCGGAGAACARGTACGACCGAGCCAGATCGAATTAGGGTGAAGTGAGTCGTGCTGAGACAGGACTAAATTCAGCAGTAGTGTTGTACCAGTGTTGTTGGGTGGGAGAGGTCGTCCTGGCTTGCTTTTCACCGCAGTGATTGTGGTGACCACCGTCCCACAGGGCATCACAGTACGATCCATTTCCACCTTCTTTCTGGCAGCGGGTGTGGGAGGGTGCCAGGACRTCACATCACTGGGTTCCAGGAAGGTAAACTTTGAGACAAAATTCAACTTTATTGTCTTTGTAAATAAAAATCACAGCATTCTGTCTAAAGRGTGGACATTAAGGTATCCACGATGCTGCATATAATCAGGTTGGTGGTCTTACCTCTGTAGTCAGTGATCCAGCCACTGTATCTTTGGCCATGAGTGTAAATGTTTGTTGTCCTTTGGGCTGCTTCTTTACAAGATCTAAAGTTACACACACCTGACCTATTAAAGAACCTGAAAAAGAAAAAAAAATGTTACGGAGTCTTTTAGCATCAAAACATACAATAACTTATTCCAACTTTTACTTACTTTCTGGAGTTTTTCCATCGTTTATCAATTGAACACTAAGCTCTTTTGATCGTCCATTCAACTCACTGGTGAAAAAATATCAAAAATTAAATTGAGTACAATAAAAATAAGTTATGTAAAAATAAATAATTTCTGCATATACAGTTGATTTGCTGGTAAACCTACAAGACAAAGGGCTGGTCCCAGGCGGGACTGGTTGTGTTCTTTATAACAGAGGTGTTAAATTTCTGTGGAGGGTCATTTAACTGCAGGACACACAGAGGATCCATGCTGCCTAGACACACAGCAGACAGCACAGTCAGTTTCACACAAAAATATATTAACAGTGTCACTCAGAAGAAAATATATTCAAACATTTGAAACAGAAGAAAGACAGCATGAACAAGATGAGTTAAGGAGTTATTTTAGGAGTTACTGGTTGAGAGTAAAAAAAGCACAAACTGAACATAAAAAACTGTTTCTGCCTTTCACTTAAAAGCCAAGAAAATGTTTAGTTTTGATAGTCATGTGCTGCAAGTCAAACACTGAATAMTGAAGAACATCAATCACTGAAACTAAAATGTAGAGGATTCTGGCAAAATGATATTTCAGACATTTTGAAGTAGGATTCTGTGAAAACTGCTTATTGATCTTTACCTTTACTACCACAAATGTCACATTAAAAATATTTACATAGAGGTCTATGGTTAATTGCGAGCATGAATTGAAGTAGCAGCTAGCTGTAGCGCTTCCAATGCAGTCTTTGGGTACTTTAACAAAACTATACAAATATTTCTGCTAAACTGTGAAATTTATTACAGTGAAAATGTTTCCAGAATTAGCAGCAAACTGGGAGCCTGGGACACGGGTGCATTTTTTCAAGTGGAGATGTGGGTCTTCTTCGGTTTTCTTCCCTCAGACCCAAAACATGCATGTTAGGCTAATTGTTGGTAACTCTACATTATCCCTAGGTGTGAGTGAGAGTGTGAATGGTTGTTTGTCATGTTTGTCTGAATGAATACATGGTAACCCCTTCTGAACATTTACCTGTATACAGACCTTAAGAAATTCGTAAATTTCACACAAAAAAACAACAACAAAAAAACAAACTCATAGCACTCTCACATGATACAAAGGGTGGATAACGGCGTCTGTGGCAGAGCAGGTATATTCGACTCTAGTGGGAGGAGGGGGCAAACTTTGCATTTCCTTGCAGGCTGGTGAAGAGACATAAAATAAACTTGAAGCAGAGTTTTTGAAAAAATCTGATATTTTTTGATAGGTCTGTATACATGCAAAATGGGAGAGAATCTGTGTAATTTATGAACAATCAGTTCAACTTGACATGTATGCAATGTGGCCTTGTGATGGAATTAATCACACAGTGACTGGTGGACATGGGGATCAGTGACACCCCATGACACAGAGAGAAATAGGTGGGTAAAGATAATGGATGGATGGATGGATGGATGGATGGATGGATGGATGGATGGGATGGATGGATGGATGGATGGATGGATGGATGGCTGTTTTAATAAAAGTTTGCATGAACTGCTAGGAAGTTTGGAAGATGAGAGTTGAATTCAGAAATCAAAACTACTGTGGAAGCAGGTCTCTTTGGAAAGTACTGCAAAGCAAAAAATAGCTTGTCCACACACACCCACTTCGAAGGTCAACTGTTTTAATCTCAGGCTATGCCAAAAGTTTTACAGCAAGCTGCTACTGCTGTTTAGAATAGAATAGAATAGAATAGAATAGAATAGAATAGAATAGAATAGAATAGAATAGAATAGAATAGAATAGAAACAGCCTTTACTGTCCCACAGAGGGGAAATTCAGGTGTAATAGCAGCAGCAGATGCATCAGTTCACAAAGCAGTATAATGCATTGCAACAATAGTAGTAATAATAATAAAAGAAAAATAATTAAAAATACTGTAAAAGGCAATAAAGATAAAAATAAGATACTGTGCAGAAAAAATACAAAGAAAACAGTCATGACAGACATGATCCAAGGGGGTGTGCAACTGAGTCAAATTAAGTCATTTCCAGCAATGTGAATAATGTGCACACGTAATTCATATTTTAATATTTATGTGCTTGTAAATAACCACAAAGCTTAATCTACATGGTAATGAAATACAAAATTGATGAAGTAAAATGTTTATAAAACTGTGTTCACATGAACTGCTGTAACATTTTGTGTTAGACTGGAGCTGTTTAAAATGACAACAATCATTTTTGCTCTTAGCTGCGTTCCCTCTGGCCATTAGCTCATCGGTCTTTCTTGTGTCAATTATTTTGCCAAACAAAGAATGCTCAGGGCCATATACAACAGGTAAGTTACTAATTTGTTCTCACCCTTTTCACAGATCCCCACTTCAAAACATTGTAAATATCTGTTTTAATGTCTGCTTTAATAACTTCAACAAACACTCATCAACTCTGAATATTAATCATGAAGAATTATTTTAACACATTCTTAACACGATAGGAAACTCTCCACACAGAGGGGTGGTATCCTCCTGGGTGTGGTGCCACTCTGGGTGTAAAATTACTGCCACACAATGTTTAGCAGAAACTGGTAGAATACAAAGAAACCTTCTCTGCCTTTGTTGGCAAAGTAAACAATAACCAGGTGAAGCTCTGACCGATATTAAATGTTCTAAACCAAATCAGCTGCATTTTAGCCTGAAGAGAGTTTAGTTTGGATCCTGGATATTCCGGGAAAAATACTTCTAAGTTAATAATAGAGATCAACACCACAAGTGTCTAAAGTAAATAAAATGCAGCTGATGTGTGCAGCTTCACTCTTTTTTCACAAAACATTTCAGCTTTGCAGCAGACTTGGTTAAATCCATCAGCAACACTGAAGACGAACCTGCAGCATCTTCCTCCTGACTGAATGAGACTCGCGTGTTTTTTACAAGCAGCTTCCAGTCGTGGGCACGAGGGGGCTTTGGGGGTGACATCACATTTTTCTGTGCTTCCTATTAAAAAGATTACAGGATATAACGTAAGAATATTACAAATGTTGAAACAAATTAACTACATTTTAATTACTGAGGTATTACAGTTCTGTCAGAGAAAACTAAATGTCTGCCGTCTGAATGCGTGACGTTTAGTGTGTGTTCATATCTAAAAACGTGTGTATTCCTATCTAAAACACACACACGGGTGGTGTGAATATGAATGAGAAATCAATTCAGAACAAGCCTGTTTACACATGATTCGTCTTGCTCATAATTTGCATTAGAAATTTGATAACCACAAACATTTTAAATTCAAGTAGTTCTGATGCAAATTCTTGGATCATTTACATTATAAACAAATAAAGTGGGTTCAGAACATTTTCAGACACCATTTACTTTTCTTTTTGCAGGTTGAGCCTACAATTCTTTAAATGTTTATTAATCTACCCTCAGCAGCATAAATTAAAAACAATATTTACATAATTAAGTAAATAAAAAATTTATGGAGCAAAATACACAGGCATTCTCAATTAAAATCTGTTCCACAGGACTCTGCAACATCAAACTGGGCAATTACCCAACCCACAGTGAAAAAAGAGAGTTGCCTAAGGGGCATATGAGCTGCAAGTATTGAGAGACTAAAAATTGTGAGAAAATGCAGCGTCACTATCACTATCATGATCTAACAGATCCCGCTCGACCAACCATTTCCCTCCCAAAACAGAAACACAAATCTAAAAAGAGGGAAATCAATATCGAGCATCAATACTCACTCAGTTGTACTTATTGGATCTACGTATACCAATATCCTAAAAAATGACAAATATCGGCCGATACCGATGTTTAGGCWGACATAAAGTTAAATTAAACCTTATCAAACATCTCTGGAGAGATATGAAAATGGCTCCATCAACAGTCTCCCTCCAACTGAACGATGCAGAAAGTTGGCTTTCATATGCAGTGTCGGATTTCTGTATGTAGAAAAGCCCTGTTWGTTTTTCTTTACCTAAAAAGATTAGAGGTTCTACTTGCTGTCAGAGGTGTTACAACTTAGTAAAGAGTTTAAATACTTATGGAAATTTTATGTATATACAAGTGTATGTACACTGCTCAAAAAATAAAGGGAACACTTAAACAACGCACGCTAAGTCCAAGTAAATCAAACTTTTGTGAAGCACATTCAACTCTGTACAGAACAAAGTACTCAATGCGAATATTTCATTGATTAAGATCGGGAGTAATCGTTTTTGACTTATGCAGAGCTTATGCAAAAATTTAACGCAACTTGTGCCGAACAGTTCCAAACTTATTATATGCATTGAATTTGGAGTGTCTGATATGACACATAGGAGCAATCTTCGGTGTTAGCATGTGGAACAAAATTTCCATATGTGGGCATTCACACGAGGACAAAATTTTTGGGACCCCTTGCTTAATGAAAGAAAAACCCACAGTGGTCACTGAAATTCACATTCAGTGATTTCATTGTACCCTGCACAAGACCCCCTGTGCCAGAGGCAGCAAAGCAGCCRCAGAACAGAACAGACCTCCTCCATGTTTCACAGCAGGGACAAGTCTTCTTAACTTTATATGCTTCATTTGTCCTCTGTGAACATAGAGCTGATGTGCCCTGACAAAAAGTTCCATTTTTGTCCCATCTGTCCATAGGATATTCTCCTAGAAACTTTGTAGCTTGGTAACATGTAATTTGGCAAATTCCAGTCAGGCTTTTTATGATTCTGTGTCCTCCTTGGTTGTCTCCCATTAAGTCCACTTTGGCTGAAACAARGACGGACGGTACGATCTGACTCTGATGTTCCTTGATTTGAAGTTCATCTTTAATCTCTTTATAAGATTTTCTGGGTTCTTTTATTACCGTTTGAATTATCCTGTCATCAATTTTCCTCCTGCAACCATGTCCAGGGAAGTTGGCTACAGTCCCATGGAACCTGACTACAAGATTGTAGKCACCTGTGATGATAATAAGTGGACACACCATGAACTTAGCATGTCCGTTTGGTCATTTTGGTTATTTTCAGGGGTACCATCATTTCTGTCCAGGCCTGTTTCACGAGTCTTATTATTTTTTATTTTTTATTTTGTTGAAACATGGTTGTAAAGCAATGTCTGACTTTCATTTGTTCATTTTTATTTATAATTACTTTTGTCAGATTCAAYTTATTTCTGTAACCATTGTGGGTTTTTCTTTCATTAAACAAGGGGTACCAACAACTTTGTCCACATGTTGTCAAAAGGGTTATAGTGTGACAGAGTCTTAAGACTGATACATTTTTGAGGTGAGACAAAAGAAACTTGTAACACGTTATTTTTGCACCATCTACTGATAAAAACGTAGCATGTAAAAGGATTTGCTTTCTATGAGGACAATGGGCCTCATTCAAGAACATGTTCGTATTCTTATCCTAAATTTCTCTTACTTTTGTTCGTATGAAGGGTTCATATGAACATGCCACGTCAGATTCAACAAACTCTTCTATCTTCAGGAAAAGTGTGTAAATGAGGAGCGTAAACATGAAGAATTACACCTGTTTGTATCCAGCTGCTRGTGAACTCGGAGTGTAGATTAGCATAATTACCACCCCAAAAACACCATATGAGGCTATGTTTCCTGCCTCAGATATCAGGAAGTGTCCATTCATGAAAATGACAGCGAAAAGTACAAAGAACTTCACGAGTTCAGAGATTAAAGTCCTGCTCTCCGAGATCGAGAAAAGAAAATCTGTCCTTTTTAGCAGCATCAGTCGTGGAATTAAAAGACCTGCTAAAGCCAAAGAACGGAATGAAATAACTACTGCTGTTAATGTCGTGTCTCCTGTGGATCGTATACAGTCACAGAAATAAAAATCCAAATCATATTCTTCTCCCTCTAGTCCTGCTCCAGTTTTTTTTTTGGTCAAATAATTTTAATTTAAGTGTAAACACCTGTGTTACATAGGTTTCATTTATTCAGAGGAAGGGCAGTAGCGCACCGCTACCCCACACACCCTCAACCTCCACCCCACCACCCGCCTGGCCGTCTCCCCCCTCCCGACCGTAGCAATTGTCAAATATGGTTCTGAAAAGACGCATTTTAAAATGTCTCCAAACTTCAATAAATGCATAATTTAAGTTGGTTTTTAGTTTGTGATCTTCATACTAATATTATTGTTATACAACAGCATTAATAGCCAATTTAATTTAATCTAACCAAATTATGTCATTAAAATCTAATTCCAGTTCAAACAGAATAACCTATTGTCAACATAATTATGAGTGTAATTTATTTTCAACTCTGAATATCTTCAAACTAATGAAATATAAAGTTATTAATGAGAAAAATCCATCTGGATAACAGCAGACTGACTGCTCGTAAAATATACGACAGGTCTGGACCACTCGTGAATTTTGTTCATTTCTGAAAAAAATCTTAGAATACGAAAAAATTGGTGAATGCCACAAATTCTCCTAAATCACTCGTACGCACAACTTAAGAACAAATCTGTGCGTACGAACAGTTCTTGCGTGAGGCCCAATGAGTTTATTGACACCGTTTGGTCTGCAGTTCTATTTACTCTAGAACTGGAGCAGACACAAAAATTCGACACTCGCTGAGATAGACACTACCCTAAAACCAAACATGACACATATCCAGCAACGAGCAGAAGCCTTGGACGAGTCATATGATGTCCTCTCACCTTGACCTCTGAGGCRTGAGCTGGCCTGCAGCTCAGCAGGACAGATGGACGAGTCGCACATAACAGATTTTTCAGCTGCTGCTTAACTGCTGCTGCACTGCAGGTGTTGGTGACGGCCTGCTGGAGAGACGATGGTATAAAACATGTTACAGTCAAGTTTTAAAAAATTAAAATTACAATATCCACCTCAGGAAGTAGAATAAATAAATATATTTATTTTACTTTCTTTAACAAGTATCATTGTTAATCTTATTGATATTTGATTACTTTTTAAACCACCCTACTATTGGGGGATCTCAAAGGTAGCAAGGCATATTCATCAAGAAAGAATCTTAACTGGTAAACACCCTGAAACGTAATAATAATAACAATAATAATAATAATAATAATAATAATAATAATAATAATCTTATTTGTCCTGTAAATTTTATTCTTCGGGTCAGGTGTCAAACAAAAGTTTTATAAACTCCACAAAGCTGTCTCTTGCAAAAAAAAAAAAGTTTTCATTCATAGTTTTTGTTTTGACGTCTCACTGTAGAATTACCGTATTTATTCGTGTGTAATACGATCTCATGTATATACAACCCCCCTCCCTTTTTTGAGCTTAAAAACCATAAAAAATATAATCCTCAAACTACCTCCAATTTCATACAGACTTCAAGATTTTTCAGCCTTTGCAGTCTTTATGCATATCAGTAAAATCATCATTGGACTGTTCATTTTATTTTAACAACATATATACTAAAAGGTATTTTGACAACAAATATATATCAGCAAACTATGACTTTGAGCATCATATGAATTCTGGCATTTTACACATAGTCCACCAGGATGCGCCAACACAAATGTCAGAGACTTCACATGAGATTTGGGCCATCTTGTGGGGGAAAAGCAGATTACTTCATACTCGCGAGCACCCCCTCTGGTGACGAAACGTTTTTTCAGGGATACAAACTTTTTCAGAACACCGGTGGATGGCTGCCATTACAGACTAACGTGTTTGTTGTTGTTTGAGGAGCAGCACGGTCACACACTAATGTCATTAGTTCGTTATCATTACTGAGCTGCAGGACTACTTTTTCTCCCTTTTTTTCACATCATGTCATCTGCCTGGATCTGTTGCTATCTCGCTCTGAAGCACGGAGGAGTGTCAGAGGTGAGCTCGCTTCAAATGCTTTTTACGATGCGGTCTCATTTCCAGACTCAGGCATTTTGTGAATGAAGCAGATATTTCAGTTAAAATACATAAGTAAAAATATTTATCCGAGTGTAGTACTACCCCCCAACTTTATGGATGATTTTATGGATTTAATTTTACGTATTATACTTGAATAAATACGGTAGTTTATTATTAGCATTTATCTCATTACACCAATCCTGCTTGGCTGGTGATAGAGTTGCATGTGTCACCTACCCTTTAAGTAGTTTGCGTCACAACGCAGCATCATTCAAAAACCTCTTCTCAGTTTGAGGAACATCTCTTTAGCAGACTAGATTAACTGTCCACTGACTGGAGAAAAACTTTTAGCTAACTCTCCTTCGACAGGTGCTAGCTGCGGTGGCTTCAGTCTTCATCATAGTCTGGAGCACTGATTGCTTTTGAAAGTAATTCTCTGTATTAGCACACCAGCTAATACAGTTTTCCATTTAGGGCTTACACACCTGTAAGCCCGGGACAATTGGCGACCAAAATGGATTTTGCTACCCTTTACACCAGAGGAGGTAGGGACTCGGAGGCTCGTTTCTGTGGCTGCAGGAACATAATTTCAAGCAAACATCCACACCAGGTGTGCTCGTGATGCTTTGGGTCGGAACATGTCCCCCTGGCAATTGATGTCCTGGGCTTGTGCACCAACTGTTCCCGTTTCACCATGAAGAGCCTCTGAAGATGGCTAGCTTGCCAAGCTAGCCTCTACGTCAGTGACCCACACTTGTCAATGAGCGAGCAGGCTGTCACCTGACTACAACGAGTTGGAGGAAAATGTGAACACTAGACCAAGTACTACAGCCAGCTGGGGTTCTCAGTTGGACCACAACACCCTCCCTTTGCTAAGGACAATGTGGAGCAGGACTACGAGGAAGAAGACAAGGTAATCTCAGAGCTCCTTGTGTTGTAAGATGATGATGATGAAATCTACATTCAAAGCTCACAGGCTGCAAAACCTGGTGCTTCGTCAATCCCCCAGGATGAGGAGCATAAAGCAACAGCCTCCTGTTTTGCGTATGGACCTGTAGACCGTGTGTAAATGAGCTGCATACTCAACATCCCATTGTAGTAATGGCAGCGCCGCTACATGCTGATCCTGAAAGCTCCTCACTGGCCAGTGGTGCACTGATTYTGTTGGTTTTGGCAGCTGCTAAACATGTTAGTTATATCCAAGCACTTTCAGTGCACCTCTCCTGCACCAAGTTTAGTCCAGGGAATGTCAGGGTCCTACTGCAGCCCAACCCAGCTTGTGTGCCTAAGGTGGTGGGCTAGTTTTCTTCAAGTAGTCTTACAGCATTTTTTTCTACTGCCTTTTTCTTCACCAGAGGAAGAATGGTTAAACAGGCTTCATACTGTCCAGGCTCTACCTACTTATACAGGACTAACAACGTCTCTCCCACTGGATTGTGGGGGCGAGTGCGCTGTCTTACACAAGCCAGGGCCTTCAGGCACCTGTGGGCCTACGTGCCACTCTTCCCATGGACTGGCTGAATCCTGGGCCCTTTTTTATTCAGGACATATGTGCAGTGGTGAGTTGATACTCCCCACTTGCTTTGGCAAATGGACCAGAGAAACCACATCAAATCATGACCACTTGCTGAGTAGAAAAAATGTTAGACAAATGAAATAAGAGAAATTGCAGTTTGATTTAGGTTGATTAACTTTTATTTAAAATTCTTTAACTTATATTCAGATGTTATTTATAAAAAAATGATAGTAAGGGCCGCTTTTCAGTATTTAGATCATCAGAAAATGTTTAATGTGGGCAATGTTTTTTTTAAAGACTGTATTGCATGTAGTTTGTTATTTCACTGCTAARAGAGCAGGTGTGCCTAGCTGCATTATTTATTTAAATAAAACTGTCAAATTGGAATAGAAATMAGTTGTATTTTTGCTCTGAACCCAGAGCAGAAAAACATGAACACACTTCCGTATTTGTTCATTTATTGCAAGTCATATTGTCATTGCATTAAGTGCAGTTATCGCACATCACAGGATTTCCTGATATTGTGAAGCCCTAATTTAAAATGTGCTCTTTTTTTAAATGAGGTGTGATCACCTGTAACTAATTTTTCATTTAATTGCATTTGTGAAATTGTAACATCTGTATATGGCTGAGTACAAAGTCATATACTGAAATAAACCCCCTACAATTAGTTACCTAAATATGATTTAAAAAAAAACATAATTCAATAGATTACCTTTCTTTTATATAAGATGACTGTTTTTAATTGATTGACAAACAGCTACCTGAATCAACTTTTCTGTGGGTCTTAATTTTTTAAACCAGTCAGAACCACTATTCAATGACTGTAACATAAACTTATTTTTGATACTGGAAAACATTTCCTTCCCTACATGAGCATGTCTAATTACACTCAGTTTCAAATATACCTGTGTGAAAAGCGGCATGAGCTGCAGCGTCTCAGTGTCCAGATGTGATACTCTCCAGCTGACTTCAATTTTATCTTCATCTTCTTGCATATGTAGCTGGAGCTGGTGAGGAGAGAGGAAATTATGCTTTACAGTCAGTGCCTTAAAAAATTATTCACACCCCTTGAACTTTCCCACATTTTGACACTTTATAACAACAACCTTCAAAAGTATTATATTTTAATTTAATGTGAATGACCAACACAAAGTGAAGTAAAACTCAAGTTGAAGGAACATTTTTTTTTACAAATAAAAATCTGAGAAGTGTAGCATGCACTTGCATTCAGCCCCTTTTAAAGTCACCAAATTAATAAATAGAGTATACTTTAATTTGATTTAATCTCCATGTAAATCCAGCTGTGCTGTAAAGGCCTGAGGTTTGTTACAGGACATTAGGGATTAAACATTATCATGAAGCCCAAGGAACACATCAGACAGGTCAGGGATAAAGTTGTGAAATTTAAAGCAGAGTAATGGTATAAAACAGTATCACAAACTTTGAACATCTCATGGAGCTTTGTTCAATCCATCTGAAAATGGAAAAAGTTCAACGTAACTGCAAACCTACCAAGTTGAAGAAGTCTTTGTTGCAGTCAGACACAAGCTGTTTAGGGACACAGTAAATGTGAAAGAAGGCACTTGACTCAGATAAGACTAAAGCTGAATTTCAGCCTTTGCGGAGGTAAAAAAGATTGGCGGATAAAATTGGCTTCTCATGTAAGTAACGATCAGTCTCCAACAATTAAGTAACTCTGTCCCGATTGGCTGGCCGATTTATCGGCACACCCCTAGCTGTGGAGAGGCTTTTCTTTAGCAGCAACAGGGAAGCTAGTTAGACTTGTTGAGCATAAGGATGCAGCTAAATACAGGCAGTCCTGAAGCAAAATTTGTTAGAGGCAGAGGTTCACCTGTCTTGCAGAACAACCCAAAACATCCAGTCAAAGCTACAATGGAATACGTTAGATCAAAGCATGTTCATGTGTTAAACTGGTCAAAGACCAGACATATATCTTATATGCAAAGATCATCTCTGGCAAGACATGAAAATTGATGTTCAGACGCTTTTACTCTTCATCTAATCGGACTGAGCTTGAGCTGTTTTCCAAAGAAAAAAAGTTCAGCTTAAGGTACACAAAGTTTGTAGAAACAAACTTCAAATATGTGTCATTGTTAATTAAGGGAAAAGGTGGTTCTACAATGTATCGACTCAACGGAGCTGAATACACACTACACTTTTCAGATTTTTATTTGTAGAAATTTTTAAAAATCATGTAACATTTTCCTTTTACTTAACAATTATGCTCTACTTTGTGTTGATCTATCACACAAAATCCCAGTAAAATATTTAAGTTTGTGGTTGAAACAACAAAAGTGGAAAAAGTCAAGGAGTGACTCCTTTTGCAAGGCACTGTGTTGTCACTGTAATCAATGATGCAGAAGATGTGAGTGATCATCATAGTTTATAGACATAAGGAATAAATTGACATTAGATCAAAGAATGATCTAGGACATTAGATCAAAGAATGATCTAGGACAAGGAGAGGAGAGGAGAGGAGAGGAAAGGGGAAAACAGGTCCAGCGTGCGCCAACATGTCAGGATTGCAGAATAGCACTAAACAGACACCTCTAATATTTAACAGAAGGTCTTATCAGAAACTACCAGATATTTTAATAGCTTCAGAAAAATATAACCTGCAATAACAATGGTTGTACTGCATTAAAGATATCTTAAATTACTATCATTTAACCTCCTTAGTCCTGAACTCTTGCATTGCCTGCATATTTGTCCACATATGTGTTGCCAGGTCCTAGAAGGTTAAACAAGATCTGGTATTTTTTAAAACAGGACCTAATATTTGTGCACTGTGACCTGAAAATGAAAGATGGCTGAGCTTTACTCCACAGAAAACAGAAAACCAAAATAAACAAAAAGTATGGCTTAAAGAGAAACTGCATGCTTTTGCGAACAACATTGAATTTTTTTTCTTACATTACTTTTTCTGTGAAAACATTATGGTGTAGTCCATGAGATAGACACATGAAATAAGGAATACTGCACAAAAAATAAAAAATAAATAAATAACACACACCAGGGTTCCCACGCCTAGGTCAACTGAAATTCAAGGACCTTTTAAGGACTTCCCAGTACCAATTTCCTCAAATTTAAAAACCACGCGTGATGGCAATTACCTACTGCTACAGCAGAATGTTGCTAATAAACAGTTTTAATATCATGTAAATCCAATGAAAAACTGAACACAGAAATTGAGTCAGAATCAATAAAATAAAGTGGATTAAATGTTTACTATACATTCATATCCACAATAAATGGACATGTAATTATGTCCTGGGAGGTTTGGCAGTTCAGTTTGGGAGGAGGGGATGTGAACATGTKCAGAACCTTAGTGAGGACAGGAGGAGCTGTGGTGCTCTCACCTGGGCTCAGAAAGAAAGACCTGCCCTACTCTGCTCTGATTGGCTAAAGCTATGAGTATGGCTCATATTATTTGTTCAAATCCACGTCAGTTTATCGTAATCCTGAGTTGTCCACAAAAAAATATTTATTTATTCATTCATTCATTCATTCATTCATTACAGATGCTGAAAATCAGTCGTGTGAATAGAGAACTTCCATCCCCAAAAACATTCAACGACTTTCAGGGACAAGTGTAATTTTTGGCTGTTTTCACTAACTTTCCAGGGCCTTGAAATCAGTTTTTCAAATTCACTAACTTTCAAGGATTCAAGGACCTGTGGGAACCCTGACACACACACACACACACACACAATTACAATGAGTAATGTCACTGCCCGATCTGTTCCAGAAGCATGAGCCTCAGCTTATTTGTGAATGCTCTAAAAGATGTGCTTCTGGACTATTGATCAATGCGCTCCATTTAGGAAAAAAATACTGAAAACTATTTCTATTCTTAATTATAAAGATGTGCTAAATTATATTCTATAAATATTTTTAAAATCAAATACATTCTAATATTAAAAAAATATATAGTTTTATGATGTACAGTGGGGAAAATAAGTATTTAGTCAGTCACCAATTGTGCAAGTTCTCCCACTTAAAAAGATGAGAGAGGCCTGTAATTGACATCATAGGTAGACCTCAACTATGAGAGACAAAATGTGAAAAAAAATTTGAGAAAATCATTTTGTCTGACTTTTAAAGAATTTTTTTTTGCAAATAATGGTGGAAAATAAGTATTTGGTCACCTACAAACAAGCAAGATTTCTGGCTGTCACAGACCTGTAACTTCTTTTTTAAGAGGCTCCTCTTTCCCCCACTCATTACCTGTATTAATGGCACCTGTTTGAAGTCGTTAACAGTATAAAAGACACCTGCCCACAACCTCAAACAGTCACACTCCAAACTCCACTATGGTGAAGACGAAAGAGCTGTCGGAGGACACCAGAAACTGAATTGTAGGCCTGCACCAGGCTGGGAAGACTGAATCTGCAATAGGCAAGCAGCTTGGTGTGAAGAAATCTACTGTGGGAGCYATAATCAGAAAATGGAAGACATACAAGACCACTACTAATCTCCCTCGATCTGGGGCTCCATGCAAGATCTCAGCCCGTGGGGTCAAAATGATCACAAGAACGGTGAGGAAAAATCCCACAACCACAAGGGGGGATCTAGTGAATGACCTGCAGAAAGCTGGGACCAATGTTACAAAGGCTACCATCAGCAACACACTACGACGCCAGGGACTCAGATCTTGCAGTGCCAGACGTGTCCCCCTGCTTAAGCCAGTCCATATCCAGGCACGTCTGAAGTTTGCTAGAGAGCATTTGGATGTTCCAGAAGAGTATTGGGAGAATGTCATATGGTCAGATGAAACCAAAGTAGAACTATTTGGTAAAAACACAACTCGTCGTGTTTGGAGGAAAGTGAATGCGGAGTTGCATCCAAAGAACACCATACCAACTGTGAAGCATGGGGGTGGCAACATCATGCTTTGGGGCTGTTTCTCTGCAAAGGGACCAGGACGACTGGTCCGTGTACATGAAAGAATGAATGGGGCCATGTATTGTGAGATTTTGGGTGCAAACCTCCTTCCATCAGCAAGGGCAATGAAGATGAAACGTGGCTGGGTCTTTCAGCATGACAATGATCCCAAGCACACTGCCAGGGCAACAAAGGAGTGGCTTCATAAGAAACATTTCAAAGTCCTGGAGTGGCCTAGCCAGTCTCCCGATCTCAACCCCATCGAAAACCTTTGGAGGGAGTTGAAAGTCCGTGTTGCCCGCCGACAGCCCCAAAACATCACTGCTCTAGAGGAGATCTGCATGGAGGAATGGGCCAACATACCAGCAACAGTGTGTGCCAACCTTGTGAAGACTTACAGAAAACGTTTGACCTCTGTCATTGCCAACAAAGGATATACAACAAAGTATTGAGATGAACTTTTGTTATTGACCAAATACTTATTTTCCACCATTATTTGCAAAAAAATTCTTTAAAAGTCAGACAAAATAATTTTCTCAATTTTTTTTCACATTTTGTCTCTCACAGTTGAGGTCTACCTATGATGTCAATTACAGGCCTCTCTCATCTTTTTAAGTGGGAGAACTTGCACAATTGGTGACTGACTAAATACTTATTTTCCCCACTGTACACCTAAACAAACCCACACACTGGTAATAATTTGTCTCATTTCTGTTTTATTTTTTCCTGGAATAAAAATCTGCATCCGTTGCAAACATTGGCCTTTCTAAGAAACATTGCAGGTGACGAAAGACTGAAATCTAATTCATTCCGTCATCAAATGGTCTGGCAAAATGCTACATGCTAAAAACAAACAAAGCCCTGCCTGCAGTATTTCTTTTAGCACATGCACAAATGAGATGACGCTGCAGATTGTGCTTCTGGAGCAGATCAGACAGTGACAAGTAGGAGTTTGAGCTGTAAAGGACTCTCAGCTACACTCAATCAATTTTAACGCAATTTATGCAAAATTGACAGAACTGCATTGATGTTTGTTTTATAAAGGTAAGTTGACCATGTTAATTAGATGTAGATTTACATCAATGATTAATTTCTACAACATTTATTCAAACTTATTCAGTGGATTACGGGACATTTTGCAAACACAGATATAATATATTATATATATTACCTAATTTCCCTCTGGGATCAATAAATTATRTTTGAATTTGAATTGAATTGAATAAGCAAAAACACTACTTTTCACCTTTTAGTGGGAGGTGATACATTACCAGAATAAAGCACGTTTTTGTCTGTTTCAACAACAAACATATGATAGTTTGTTTCATGTTTTCTTTTTTCCAGCATACAAAAGCATAACAGGAAAACAATGATGTTTTTGTGCTTCCCTTTTCTAGAACTGTTGCTTAGAAACTTTGCATCCATTTTTCTCTTTTTTGTCTAWATGTCAAAAATAATGACATTTCCATTTACTATAAAGGGAAATAGCACTGTGAGCTAAGTAGGACATACTGTATGCCAGGGGTGCCCAACCAGTCACTCGCAGGCGACTCGTCGCCGGCCAGCTGATTCCCAGGTGCCCGCGCAGTGCAACCTTGCTGCAGAGGCTCTAGCGCCGGCTCTGAGCATCACATCCCGGAGTGGCTGGTCTTGTTTGACAGCTCTGGTTCTGCCCTACAAGGTGAAGTTAAATGAAGTCCCTGTAACATTCCCCCGCGGAGCTATAAGCAAAAAACCTCCAAAATACGCAATGTCGGACCTCCCGCCGGGGTGGTTCTAGCCCCCCCTCCCGGGCTAGGACCGTCGGATTCCGGCGTGGCTGGTCGGGTTTTAAAGCCCTGGCTCTGCCCTACAAAGAGAAATTGATTGGAGTCCCTGGAGATATAAGTGAAAACCCTCCAAAATTACACACCGTCAGACTTCCACCGGGGGTGGTTTTAGCCCCTCTCCTCGGGCTAGGAGCATCAGATCCCAGAGTGGATGGTCGGGTTTTAAAGCTCTGGTTCTGCCCTACAAGCTAATACTTTAATGCCATCCCTGTGACGTTCCCCCGCGGAGCTATAAGCAAATTACGCATGACTTAGTGCATTTTACGCTCATTTTCGGGAGGAAACACGAAATCACGTTACAGTGAGTACTAATTGAAGGACATAAAAAAATGGTACTTTTTGTTCAAGCATCACTTTTCTGTTTCTCTGTCAGAAGTTAAGTAAGGATTTTATCTTTTCTTTGTTTTGTGTGTGTGTGGGTAAATATATGGTTAAGTAGATAGTTTTGTTTGACAATACTTTAAATTAAATAAAACTAGCAACACATTATGTTCTGTTTTATTTACTTTAAAGAAGTGAGGAGTAGGGAGACCATACTATGTTTTTTTGATACTGAGACTAGACGAGTAGCTCTCGGCAAACTGCCGACTTCAAAAGTAGCTCTTGGTTCAAAAAAGGTTGGGCACCCCTGCTGTGTGCCCACACTGATRGTTAAGTGAGTAATGTTTTAGAAACAGAAACTGCTGCAGTAAAGTCAATATGTAAACTCTTTATTTGCCTTTCAAAGATGAACATTACAAGAGGATGCAGCATGTGACATGTCTGTCCTTCATCACATGCCTCAAGCCATGTGATGTAGCAGTGGGTTAAGACAAAGTACACTAAGCAGCACACCTTAGTGTATTGGCTGGATTAGTACCTTCTGTCCTACATATTCCAGCACTTGTTACGTGATGAGCCAGGAGTGTTCTCAGTCAAACAAATGTGCCAGTAGACAGATGGAAACATTCTAAAAAGGTACTCTTGGATTTTTCCAGACTAATCTAAAACAACTAGAGTGGAAAAAAACAAGAGACTGGAGGCTTCCTTCATTGCCCTGCAACAATACTGAATCTACAATCAAAAACAAACAATGAGACATCATTCCTGACTTTAGCCTCAGAGCTTTTCACGCAGGATCTATTTAAAGCACAGTGAGCTCTGGATGTTAAAAACCTCTCTCTGGTCTAAATATAGCTTTAAAATAATTGGGTAACCTTATGTGGTCAGTTACAAAGCCTTTAATAGCCTAACACTCAACCTTTATCAGGTCCAATGAATGYAAAGAGCAAAACATCTGTATAAAAAGAGGACTATTCCCCATATGGTGCAGAAACCGATGGTGAGATTATAGATTATAGAATGGTTCCTCCTATTTAATTTTCTAATTCCAGCTTCTTTAAAGTGAACTGCAGGGAATTGCATTTCTGAAGTTTTCAAGGATATTATTCAGCCGTTTCTTATGCTGAAAATCATGTCAGCTAGCAATGACCGGGCCAGCAAGTGGACAATCTGATGTTTATTTTAAAGCTTGCAGTTGGACAGAACTATGGAAGAGATATAACTGTTGATACAGTCTGATTTGTCCGTCTGGGAGATCATAAGAACAAAATACATGAAGCACATGAATACATAATACATGAATGCTTAAACAAAAGTCTGTTAGTGATCTATCCACGCTCAAAMAAATTCTCCTTCATGATGCTGAAAACTCTGACTTTCAGCTGACTAAGTGGGAAATCAATGAATTCTGGGATACCGTTGTAGGATACTCTGTTGCAGCTGACGTTTTCTGGGTTTTGTCGGCTGCATTTGTAGCCACCGATTAGTAGGCACCTACAAATTGGGACAGCCTACGGCGTGGGGCAGGGACGTAAGCGACCGACAAATGTGGACAACGTTGGCTGCAATCCATAAATTGAGACACAGCCTTTGTAGTACAACCCTTTGGTAGTAGTCCATTATCCAGAAGAGCTACAAGCGTGCCTATAGTTCAGACATGCTTCACAAATTTTCAGCTGAAGTCTGAATTCTGAGAATTTGTGACCAAATGACAAGTGAGGTGTTGAACTGTATAGTTTGCAGCCCATTTTTTTAACTTGGCCTATTCTGTGCAAAGCTAGTGAAACTGCATTCTAGGTGTGCAATGCATAATATTCCGTTGCTCCCTTCTGCCCACATTATACTCACCTTGGGACTGCTTAATACCCAGCTTGGCAGTCAGCCCCAGGTTTGTGAGTTAATCTGCTCTAAGACACTTTTGAAATAATTATAAACAGATTTGGAATTTTCTTTTAACAATTATCGGCATAGTGGAGGGAAGTTCCCATGCAGGTGTCAAACGCTCTTGAGAAATGAGAGATGTTTAAAATGACATGTTAAGACTGCAGGGGTAAAATACACTGTATAACAGTTTCCTTAAGCCCTTGATCATTCAAGACCAAGCAGTGGAGCAGGTTGAGTGTTTTAAATATCTCAGCATAGAAATGGACAATAGCCTTTCCTTCTCCAAGCATGTTGACAACATTTACATAAAGTCTCATCAATACCTCCACCTACTGAGGAAGCTAAAAGCATTCCATAACAGTAAAAATGGTTTGGAACTGATCTACAGGTCATTGATCGAATTCATCCTCATTGTCAATATTTCTACCTGGTACAGTTTCATTATAATGAAACAAAAAACAAAACTATCCCACATCATTAACCATGGATGTTATATCTCTTCCTCTCTGCATTCATCTGACTCTTGATTGTTTATGTTGTCATGTTTTCATGCTTCTTTCAACTTCTGAATCTATTTTACAATCCTATTCTCAATGTATGTGTAACCAACTAGTGTAACTTACAAATAGATAAGTTGAGAAACTTAGATTTCAATGTTGAAGCTACAGTTAGTCTATCTTTCTA